CTACTGGGCTCGCGTGTGATCGGCCTTGAAGGCCTGAAACTCGCGAACGTGAGCTGTGGGTAGCGAAGCCGGAGAAATTCCGCAAATACAGCGTCCATGATGTCTACGTGCCCAGGTGGGGCTACCCTGGGTCTTAGAAAACACTCGCCTTGCGGCGAGGCCCCAACTTCTCGGACCTGAGCGGTTCTATTGAACACAGGTGGCATGCGGCACGATTACTACAGGAAAAGCAAAAAGCAAAATAAACAAAAAAACAAAAACAAATACAAATAAATACTTGCAGGAAACCACTTTGTCGGCAAATGTACCACGAACACAAAAATAACTAAAACGAAACAAATAAAAGCTTCCAGGAAAAACACTTGGTCGGCAGATGTATCACGATCACAGGCCGCGCGAACAATGGCCGGGCTAACAAAAGCCGGGCGAACAAAGACCGGGCGAACGAGTGGTCGATGAGCACGTCCGCACGTGACGGGTGCCTCTATCGGAATCAATTTATTTTGTAAAATACACGAGATACATACATAGTTCTAAGTCACATTTTCATATACTTGTGTAAAGTCTTTTGCTTCCGGAAAATATTTCATTGAAGTATTTCAGCAATTCGGTTCTCTTCATCAATCAAATTCAGTTTTAATTTTACAATAATATCTGTCATAGATTATCATGGAAATAGGAAAAGACAACGAATATTCATAAGAAAATTACAAGTTCTAAATTCAAATGTAGTACTATTGGTTTTTTAAAGGTATTTACGGTCAGGCTGGATGAGAATCGCATATTGTAGAGTTGATAAAACTATACTTACTACTTTTAGTTCGGTGTCACCGTATTCCCTTTTGAATGTGCTGTGCCATTGGGATTCTCTATAACATGAGTTACGGTGTTGCCATCAACTGTGTACGTGGTTTTTATCTGGAAAATGTAAATTTTACTGAGGTGTAACATTCGTATTTCTTCAGTTGCCCCAAATGTTTTTTCAATAATATTAGCTACTATTTTTTCTACATTCGTAAATGCATAAAGCATTTAATGTGCTAATAGATAAATTAATAAATAGGAATATCAAATGGCATAAAGAATTATAAATATATCATTGCTAAATTCACGAGTAAGCTTAAGTGGCTACCGTTGTATTGAACTAAAACCTAGAACTGCTCAATATCTATTGCTTTATTTTGAAATTTAATATAGAAACTATTCGAAACATTCCTGAAGAAATGAAAATGGTATTTATATATAAAGGTATTGTGTTATTAACATTATTACTGCATGCAATGTAACACAGAGAACAGAAGACGTAATGGAATTTAAATTTAACATTTGTAAATTTATCGTCAAATTTAAGTTGTCGCATAGTAAACTTATCAGATTACCGTCAATCCACCATCGATGGTTTCGTCGAAAGGCGAAGAGAGAGGTCGTTCGACTATAAATGCAGGTGTAGATCTTATTAAAAATATTTTTCAGGCTTGGGCGGAATCGCCTAATGCCCTTGGGGTATTCTGCGACTTATCTATAGCTTTTGATTGTGTTGAACATAATAAATTGTTGAGGAAATTACACCATTATGGTAGGTGGTAGGGTAGACTCCGTAACGCCACAGTATAAAATGGCGGTACGTGGACAGAGTCGTGGCATTCCGTGTCAGACAGTCATTCAGTCCGTATCGGACGGTCCGTCCGTCTCAGTCAGTGAGTCTCTGGTAGTCAGTCAGTCGGTCTGTCGGTATGTGGAACGAAACTGTCGGTTTACCCTGTCATTGTGTAAGTCGTGTGTGTTGAGTTTCAATAATTATTATTCAAAAGGTTTTGTTGACTTTTTATAAACTGAGTTCAACCAAATACGAGTGATGACGGAAACTACCGCTTAGCCATCCCTGGCGCGCCGCAGACATATAAATTTGTAAGCTTGCGGGTAGACATTATCTTGTTGAACACCAAGTAAAACGATGTCACTTTTTGGTTCCTGATTTAATCAACAATATGTTATCTTAACAATTCACTTTAACACTTGTCCAACTTTAACCAGTACGTACAACAGTCACTGAATCACACAACGTAACAAGGATATAGTAAGTGCACCAGGCAAGCGCAGTCCAACGAATGTTCATTTCAAGGCNGTACAACAGTCACTGAATCACACAACGTAACAAGGATATAGTAAGTGCACCAGGCAAGCGCAGTCCAACGAATGTTCATTTCAAGGCACGTTCCGCCTTTTTATACTAGCCGGCGCAGCTGGCTTATGAGTCACTTCTGTTGCAGCTGTTGTTTACGAGTGGAACGACACGGCCGGCGCGCCTGGCTTGTGTGAGTCACTCTATTGCACGTGCTATATAACATAAATATCGTTAACGCCGTCAAATTTATAAATTAAATAATAAATAATAATAATAATTTAATAATTAAAATATCTTATTAAAAGGAGTCCCTTTAGGCAAGGTTCCGAAGATACTGGCAGCGTTCCCCCTTTGAATAGCTAGACTAATTCTTTGTCCAAGGTAGCTGCTAGCTCTTCGGTCTCCTGTGATATCGACTAACCTTTTTGCTATTTCCTCAAAAAGCCTTATAGCGCTAGTACCCACGGACCAAGGGTCTCGACACCGAATGGGACAAAACATTTTCCGAGCCTAGACCCTTGTATTTGCAAGTTTTGGCTTTTTCAGCCGCTTCACAAGCCGCACTAGCTCTATTGTTAGTTCCATGTAGATGGGAAGGGGCGTATCTGAACAGGTTGCATCCCATACCAGCACCCGACCCATCTTCCATGGAATCAAACCCATACCGTCCGGTCTCTTGTCGTTCGTCTCTTGCAATACCAGTCGGCTCAAGTAGACTTGGCACGTTGACGGAGGCAAGGGACCGACGTATGATATCATTAAGTGCGGCATGTCTCGAGAAGCGGCCTGCACTTTTTTGGCATGACAGTCCGTGATGTCCTAGCTTGTCGACATCACTGCCACAGAGACATTTATGAGGAGCGCAGACCGGAACCCTAAGCCGTAGACAGGTAGCGATTCGGAGCGTGTCAGGCTCAAAAAATGGTCCTGTATTTGATGAAGCTGTATTGACTCACGGCTCAAAATATTGTCATATGTCAATTTGCAGTTTATGTCGTCCCAGCTCTTCTGTGAATTTAGAGAAACTGGAAAAAAAAATCCGTCTTTTTTTGTGAGGGCAATGAGGTTCGCACCGAAAAGAATGGGAACAATTTCTGGATCGACATTACCGGAATACATAAAGTTGATTAATTTGTGATCGAATTTACAAGTTGCTCCCCTGCATCACCCAGAGAATGCAATGTTAAGTCTTTCAAATGTTGGGGTGAGATTCCATCCAAACCTGCAGCCAACCTGGTTTAAAAGATAAAATCCATAACATTTTTTATAAGAAAAAATCCATAACATTTTTGTTTTGGATTTGAAGGAAGGAATACTTGGCTTGCTGGGTGGGTTGAGAAAATATGTGCTTATTGGAGCTGGAGAATGTTTTATCCGTAAGGCCTGAAGGGTGTCAGGGGTATCTGGTGATAGCACGTCGTTGGAGAACAAAAGGCGAGCGGCACCTTTTAGATCTCGTCACAGATTTTGTTTTCGATGATTTTGTTGCGATTACGAGGGGCATCATGTTTGATTTGAGGTGCGGCAAAAGGCGAGAAGCTTACAGCACATCTATTCTTAATCTTTTGAATCAAGGATAGATTCGGTTCATCAGTTTTTATTGTGTGTGTGTGCTGTATGAAAATAAAAATAAGTTCTGCCAGTCTTGAGTAGAGTTGCTTACGTAACATATCTGGATTAATTGTGACAAATGTGTGGCAACGGTTATTCCAGCCCCTCGAGGGATTCTTTTAACTATGGGTAGACTATTTTTCAAATTGCTTAGACATGTGTGGAAAGGAGTTGGATCGTTGGCAACATTAGTAAGACTCGTTGGCAACTCGGAATTACGATTAGATTAGTGATATCAATCGACAAGATTTTCTGTCCTAATTCAGTACAAATTACATTTAATCTATTATCATCGTATCAACGAAATAATATCATATTATCAGAAAGTTAATGGTTACATGAATAGTCATCATCATCATCATCATCATCAGCCTTTATCTGCCCACTGCTGGACATAGGAATAGTGCCATATAGCATTTGAATTATTATTTTTTACTTTTTTCTAGCGCTAGCTATCATGTCATAGAAGAGATATGGCAAAAATCTAAGTCGAGCTAACAACCTTTTCAAGATACATACAAGTACATGACCATGAGTCTACTGAGCAATACATAATACGATGGAACGTCTACACATTGTCGTTTTTCTTCACATAATATTCTCTTAGACTAACCACCGCAAAAACAAATAGGGGACTGAAGTTCTGTGTTGCCTTAACTACGCTCGATGATATTACTCTCAATGAGACTATGCTCTACTCAAATCCAGATACGTGTCTGTTTTTCTAAAGACGTAGTTAAAGAAGAAGGATTAACTTTTTTTTTCTACCTAAGCTGATGGTCTATAGAGACCATGTGAGGCTCAAACCTGACGATTTTGCTAACACGAACCCTAACAAGAGCCGTGCTTCACAGAATCTACCACCGGAACGGAAACGCGACCAACTGAGAAGATCCGGCGAGAAACTCAGTGGGCATGGCGTGTTGTATCACGGGATGTATCACGTCAGTGTCGTGAAGTAGTCGTGATTTCCAGTTTTGAAGAGTACTATTTGAGACTTCGAACTTATGTCTCAAGGTACGTTAGAGTCCTAGTTATTATCTCTATTGAACCTGACACCTTCTAGCTAACGAAACGATACTGAAAAAATGTTAAAAAAACTCACTGATAAACTTAAGGAACCCATCGAAGTTTTCTTCTCTATCTAATATGTATTTTTTACCCAAGAAAGACATGGTTACGCCGGCTTAGTTGAAACGTAAATAGAATGTAGCTTGTTACGATAAGTAAGTTATATTGATCAGTATTTATCTGTAGATATGAAATTTATTACACACTATTTTTTTTTATTGCTTAAATGGATGGACGACCTCACAGCCCACCTGGTTTTAAGTGGTTACTGGAGCCCATAGACATCTGCAACGTAAATACGCCATCCACCTTGAGATATAAGTTCTAAGGTCTCAAGTATAGTTACAACGGCTGCCCCACCCTTCAAACCGAAACGTATTACTGCTTCAAGGCAGAAATAGACAGGGTGGTGGTACCAATGTGGTGGTACCAATGTGGTGGTACCAGTGGTATTATTATTAATTGTTGTGTCACTGATATGTATTTATTGATCAGCGGCTTTATTTAATGTTTTTAGCAAAAAAGATGATGAATCAAATCAAATGGCAACTGAAAACTATCATATTTCAGTATAAATTCATGATAACTATCTTATCAAATTTATCTATATATTAATACGTGAAGCAAAAACTTTGTACCCCTTTTTACGAAAATTGCGCGGACGGAGGAGTATGAAATTTCTCACACTTATAGAGAATATAGAAAAGAAGTGCACAATGCTAATTTTTTTTTTAATTATGCATAAAAGGTACATTAAATCAATAAAGAAAACATGTATGTAATGTTTACCATGTATTTGACACACATACGCATGCATACTATTTGTTTATTGTCAAACTTTTCTTATTGCATAAGGTCAAATTGAGAATAGATTAAAAATTTTTTGTTTTTTTTTTATATTTGTCTAAAGTGTAGTCTTGGTGAAATCTGTTACTATATAAGTATAATAAATAGTCTTTGACAACAGAACCATAATAATGTTCAAACTTATAATTTCAATTAATTATAGTCGAATTTCGACTACTGCGGGACCACTAGTCTTTGTAAAATTTTACACTGAATGTCGTTTTGACGAGGTTTTGGAGAAGCATATAAGCTGTGGACGTATCTGCACTGAAAGACAGAAAGGAGACTGAAACGATTACATAATATATTTTTGGTCCCGAATGTAACGTGATGAAACTAGTATGAATTAATAGATTCAGATTTAAAAGTACCTTGCTGAAAATTCTAAAAGTTTTCTCAATCTGAGAGCAAAGATAATAAAGATTTAGTAAAAGTCAGGTTATGTTACAATCTCTATAATGCTGAATAATAACTTATTTAAGCATAAGTAAAGTTTATTATATCCATTGGATAATCTTTTAAATGTCTTATTATGAATGAATATCAATGATATCAGATATGGATTTACCTAAAAGGCGTCGAAAAAAATAAAACACAACATATTGTCTACCTAGTGCATTCACCTTCACTTATTATTAAAATGTCGTTCAGGAAGAGTGCAGGGAGAACAATATTATCTTGGTATGTACCTAGCCCAGCTAAAGTACTAGGCTGCACTAAAAGTATCGGGAATGGAATATTTCCACTGTTCCTGTCATATTAAAATCTTTTTAATTGAAAACTCCTTGGTTTTAAAAATCGAATACCATTTATTTATTTAAAAAAATATTCTCGGTCTTGTCACGAGGTTTTGTCAAACTTGTTTAGTCGTTGAGAAAATGGAATTGACTCGAGAAAATTCAAGAGCGATGATTTATTATGACTTTCGAAGTGGTTTAACACAAAAACAGTGTGTTGACCGGATGATTTCTGCATTTGGTGATGAAGCCCCATCCAAAACCACAATTTATCGCTGGTTTGCTGAGTTTCAACGTGGACGTGTCAAGCTCAGTGATGATCCCCGTCAAGGTCGTCCAAAAACTGCAGTCACCCAAGAAAACGTTGATGCTGTGCGTAAGCTGATTGAGGAAGATCGACATGTGACATACCGCGAAATTCAGGCAACTTTAGACATTGGCATGAGTCAAATACAAATAATCTTGCATGAACAATTAGGTGTAAAAAAGTTGTTTTCCCGATGGATACCGCATTCGCTCTGTGAAGAGCAAAAAGCGGCTCGCGTTACTTGGTGCGTCAGAACTCTCGAAAGATTCCACGCAGGATCCTCAAATGCTGTATACAACATTGTATCAGGTGACGAATCCTGGATATACGCGTACGAACCCGAAACAAAAAACCAGTCACGAGTTTGGGTGTTCGAAAATGAGTTAAAGCCAACAAAAATTGTTCGTTCACGGAGTGTTGCAAAAAAAATGGTGGCCACGTTTGTCTCCAAAACCGACCATGTTACGACTATTCCTCTTGAGGGACAAAGAACGGTTAATGCAGAATGGTATGCTAGCATTTGTTTGCCACAGGTCGTTTCTGAACTCCGTAAAGAGAACTGCAACCGCCGCATCATCCTCCATCACGTCAATGCGAGTTCTCACACCGCGCACAGAACAAAAGAGTTTTTAGAGCAAGAAAACATATAATTATTAGACCATCCGCCGTACAGCCCCGACCTAAGCCCTAATGATTTCTATACTTTCCCTAAAATAAAGAATAAATTGCGTGGACAGAGATTTTCATCATCTGAAGAAGCTGTGGACGCCTACAAAACGGCCATTTTGGAGACCCCAACTTCCGATTGGAATGGTTGCTTCAATGATTGGTTCCATCGTATGGAAAAATGTGTAAAATTTCGCGGAGAATACTTCGAAAAGCAATAAATACATTTTTAAATAGTAATGTTGTGTCACTTCGTTAATTCCCGAAATTTTTAGTGCCGCCCTCGTACCATATAATACCTACTGTCCCCAAGGGTCCAACCATATAATATAATTCAACCATATAATACTGTAACACTGTCCAAGGGTCGACGGCCTATGGAATTGCTATGATTAATTGCTATCCAATAATTCACACAGCGATCCATAATTTCAACAGTATCCAAATCAACAATTTCAAGTCAAACGTGTGAGCATCTTCTGTGTCCAATGTAAAAGCAATTGTCGTACAAGGTAGACAGGGTTAGAATCCGTAATAAGAAAGTAGTGATCGTTGAAAATAAATAAAAATTGCCAAATAGATACACACTCAAAACGCGTCGAAAATAAAAAAACGAGTAGAGCAGAAAAAACCAACAAGCGCCAAATTCATTGTATAATCTAAGAACAAGCGTCATGTCAGCTTATTGTCAAAGCTGTCATTAAAAATCATTGACCTATATAGTATTAAAAATACAATTGATCGATTTGAAATCGATAATCATATTACTTTGTTAAGTAATAATAGACTTTTTCTTTATTTATGTATATAGTCGCAATTAAATTAGCCGTATACCGCACTTATGTATAACAAGTATAAATCGCTCATTTAATTACTTTGCATTCATTCCCTAGTGCAATGTTTTTCTTTTTATAATATTGTAATCGATTAATTAAATCGATCATACCGCTAAACCGACAAAAAGTAACTTTCTCATTTTTCCCCGGTCCCAGTAAAAGGATTGAGGTGATTTTTTATATTCTTATATAAAAAATATGACAAATTTTTTAGACTATATTCCAAGTTATTACATTTTTGGCCAACGATTTTCCGTCTCCTTTGGATAGGAAATATTACACTTTATGTATTGTAATAGGCGGCGGAAAACTTTCTTCGCATTTTTTAAGAAAATTCACAGCATATATTGTTGAATCAAACCTTCTTTATAGTTTTTATGAACGGCGTGCTTACGTGCCCTCAATGCGCAAGGAGTTTTGCCGCGAAGATAGGTTATATATCTTCGAGCGCACGAGCGCCAAATCGACATCGGTCGGATGAATCATCACACAACTCTGTTTTATTCTTTTACTTGTCACCTTGACTTAATGTCATTCTCTCTCCATAAAATAAAATGTTCATTGTGTTACTTTAAATATCGTTTATTTTAAAATCCACAACAATTGGTAGCAGAGCGTGGTTATAGCGATATGCAAGTAAATGATGTAATCATTATGGTAAGTTCCGCATACCGTATAGAAAGTCTGACGAAAAACAACTACGACACATGGTGTTTACAGGCGCAAGCTGTCCTCGTGAAAAATGAATTATGGGACTACGTATCCGGCAGAGGTGTAGACAGCTTGGAACGTCTGATGGTCACTGGAAAAGTAGAAGGAAAACGTCCTAGAGGCCGGAGCCCCAAACGTTGGTCCGACCAGATCTCCGAGCAAACCAGCGGACCACTTAACGCTGCACTACACCAGGCAACTGACCGGAACCGATGGAGGCTGGCACCTTATTTTTGAATTCTTTGAATTTTTCAAAAACTTCATCTTTGTGTCTTAAGAAAATACACGCAGCAATATTTTGAAAAACCGTCGATAAAGGTTACGAAATATTTGAATCCTGCAATAGTTTCCGTCCTCATTGGTCCGCACACATCACTATGGATTATTTCCAGTGGTTCAATCGATTGTGATCCTTCTATGGATGTGTATGGCAACTGATTCATCTTACCTGTTATACATGTTTCGCAATTGGCAATTTTTCCGAATTTTCGCAGGCTTACGCCTCTGATCAGTTCGCTTTTATCAATTAGTGTCATAGTAGATATCGAAATGAAACCATCTACATCAAATAAAAATAAAAAGGTACCACCTCCTACCATGCTTGCCCAATCTGAAAAAAATCCTGCAACTACTTCTCAGAGTAATGGAGACGAAGTTGAAAGGGTAGAGGATAGAGATATAGACCAGGATAAAAGGAGTTCACAAGGTAACACTAGATCTCAAAGACAAAGAAGAGTATCAAATTATTTAAAAGATTACGACCTTGATTCGCAACCTGATACTTCCGGTGGTTTTCAAGAATCAGTAAATCAAATAACAAATGAACACCATACCTTGTTGTGTGATTTCGAAAATCCAAGCGTCACTGACGAGGATTTGCGAGAAGCTATTAAAAAGGAGATTAAAGCGATAACAAAGCCGCAATTGAAATTAGTAAGAATAACATCGTGAGCAACAAAACCAACATATCGATATTCGAATTTATTTCCTTCGAGAACATG